TCCTGAAAGAGCGAGTGAGTAAGGCGGTGAGGCAGAGATGCTGGCGGGACGGAGCACTGGGGGCCTTGCAGACCCGGGCAGGAACCAGGATTTCATTCAGGGTGCAAGGGTGCCCAGGAGATGGGTGAGCTCAGACCCACATCTGCTGAGTGTAGACTTGGCTGAAGATGGGGTGCAGTGGGGGAGCAGCAAGGCAGTCCAAGAAGTAGAGCAGGTTAAGACAGAGGCTCTGGAAACTGAGGATAAGGAGATATATGCCTACATATTAGCAGAGGAGCCGACAGGACTGGGTGGGGATGAGCTCTGAGAGGAGAGGGAGGACCCGGAATGACTCTCACATCTAGGTCCCCCCTCCATCACCTCCAGCGAGGCCTCTGATTATTTCCATCAAAGCCTGATCAAGCTCAGAACTTATTTATTCACTCATGCATTTATCAGTATCTGTTTGTGCCTTTGTTCATTATCTGCTTTCCCTACTGCAGGTTAAGCCCCAGGCTTGGCACTCAGCAGGTGCCACTTAATACATGCTTGCTTGCTGCCGATGGGGGTCCAGGCCATCTGGGGGCAGTCCAGTACTGCCTCGCCAGCTGTGCAGTGATGGGCAGTCACATTTATTCAACATGAGAACCAGGATGCCCACTCAGCCTCCTTTGCTGGTTTGGTGCCTGTATAGAGTAGATGCCAATAAAGGCACTTCTGTTCTCCCCATCTTAACCATCCAGTCTGCTGTGAATGTTTCACGGCCCCAGGTGAATCTGATCTTTGGTTCATCTCTCGAACATCTAGAGTTTGCCAGTCCTTGTCAGATGCTGGGGATCTGGACAGGAGCAAGACAGACAACCCTTGTCTCCATGGACCTCACCACTAGAGTGCACCCTGCTTCCGATCCAGGAGGTCGTCTCCTGTTCTCTCTTTCTGCTTCCTGTTGCATGCTGGGGCCAGTGTGAAGCCCGCTTTCCCTCCTATCCAACTTCACAAGGCACAGGCTGTTGGCAGCTTACAGTGGAGCCATGTTTAACACAAGTTCACTTAACACGCTGGCAAACCAGTGGGCTGAACATGTGTTAAAGTTATCAAGCTCTTATATAAAAAGAGAGGGGGAGTAAACCCTTCAGGCAAGCAGAATCTCTCAGATTATCCCACCACCAACACACACACCATTCTGCTCTGTGGATTTGACAGCCGTTTTAAACCAGAAAAATCTGAAGACCCCAGCTTCTGCGGGCAGCTCCCTCCTGTGGTCTGCCTCCGTGTTACTCAGACCACTGTGCTGAAGAATGATGAGGTTACCTGCACAGACCATGGTTTGTAGGGGACCTGAGAGGTTTTCAAAGGTCCTTCTGATCACCTCTCATTTTCCCCTCATAGGCTTGCTTTATCATGCAAGTGCCATGTAAAGTATGACCTTTGGATATATTAATAGCTTGCCTTACGCTCTATATAAGCATTTTGAGACTGGCTAACCAGGATGATAGCTCTGCTCAAGGGAGTGGCTTTATCTCATTTTTAAAGTGTTCCATATTGTGGTTGGCTTAAAGCAGGCTTTGGTTGGGTTGGTAAAAGTTGTGATGAAGAGTTGGTTGACGGTGAGTTTTGATTAACGGTAAGGTTGGTTGATGGGTTGAATTGGTTGATAATAGAGTTGGCTGATGGTGGGGTTGATTGACAGTGGGATTGGTTGATGGTGAGATTAGTTGATGGTGGGGTTGGTTGCTGGTGAGATTGACAGATGATGTGAGGTTGGTTGATGGTGTAGGATTGGTTGACAATAAAGTTCTTGATGGTGAGGTTGATTGATGATGAGGTTGGCTGATGGTGGGGTGGGTTGATGGTTGAATTGGTTGATAATAGGGTTGGTTGAGGGCTTCTGTGGCAACTCAGATAGTAAAAAAATTTACTGCGATGCAGGGGACCCAGGTTCGATCCCTGGGTCAGGAAGATCCCCTGGAGAAGGGAATGGCTACCCACTTCATGATTCCTGCCTGGAGAATTCCATGGACAGAAGAGCCTGGTTGCAAGGAATTCTTTGCATGGGGTTGCAAAGAATCAGACTGAGCCACTAACACTTGAGCTTTTTCACAGGGTTGGTTGACAGTGAGGCTGCAGGGCATATGGTTCAGGACTGGGTAGCTGTGGCTATGAGGCTAGGGCTGGACTCCCATTTATCAGAAGCACTAGGCAGAGCCTGTGTGCAGAAAGCAGGTAAAGATTTCAGTGAGTGTGGCTGTCCAGGTATAGCCCTCACATCTGGAAGCTTTTATGCTGTGCAGTGAACCTCACATGAGCCCACAGGAAGCTCACTAGAGCTCTGTGAATCGAGGAGGTAGTTTCATTATTTCTCTAAGAGGTATACACACAGTGATGTACATTAAATACATCTTTTATGGTGAATCAGTGGGGGAGCCAGGGGAAGAGACTCGGGGACTCTTTCTACCCTGAAACCTTCAGCAAATGAACCCTCATTCTCAGCAGTACCTGCTGTTCTCAGAGCTGTGGGTGATCAGGCAGCGGAAGTTTCAGGAACGTGATCTCTGTCCTCAAAGAGCCCCCCATCTCTCTGGGAGAGAGAAGACTCCCCCCATGAAATGTGACTGGTGTCAGAGGGTGGGATGCTCGCACTGTGGGGATGGGAGATGTTTGGGCAGTAGAGCGATGAACAGGGAGGGAGACGAGCTGAGACCTCAGGATGCAGAGGCCTCCACGCGCAGAAGTTGCGCTCCGGGGCTAGACTAAGGAGGGGGCTTCCCAGTGGCAACAGGGTGAGCATGTCACCAGGGCCAGCCTACCTTGTTGATACAGACATGCGGCTATATTTCATTTGCTGGCATTTCCATTGGTCATTTAAGTTAATTTCAATTTAGTGAGTGCTGCCGAGGTCGACCTTAGTTTCCAAGAACAGTTGATGGCCTGCTGATGTCTATAAACTCTGGTAACCAACACTTCACACCTTCTCTAGGCAAGGCTCATTGTAACGGTGATGAGACACCTTTACTGTCTTATGAGACATCAAGGAAAGATGATCTATGCAGTAATGTTAGTGAGTCCTCTTTGGGTTTTCATTTCTGTTTCTCAAAAGCATCACTTGAAGTAATGGCACTTCCAAAGACGTACTCTCTTCCCCTCCCCCAAAGAGTTTGAGAAATGCCAAGTTTGACACAGCTCTCTCTCTCAATATATATATTCACCTGTAGGATTTCTCAGAAGCCTTAGATTGCTTATATTCACCAAAACATCTTTAAAGGCAGATAGAGAGTGCAACTTTTCTGAAACTTATCTAAAACCAGAAACATCATTTCACAGAAGACCAGTGACAACATCTCACAGGAATTAGAGTGTTGAGTGATACTGTGTGGGAGCGTGGCTCCAGGAATATATTTCCGTTTGCCTTCCTAGGGGATCTGATGACTCGGAGCACTGTGTGTTCCATCTGCAGATGGGGAAGTTTAGGATCCAAGATCTTGGGATGGTGCTGAGAAGGAAGGCTGCTGGAGGAACCCACTAGTGGCCCCACCCGCCTAGGAAGCTTGCTGTGCTGCAAAGATAGGAGTTACTCACAAGGGCCCTGCCTTGACATCTAGGGCTGCTGGGTCCAGGCTTCAGCTTCCCCTGTCTCCCTTTAGCCAGAGATCTGAAATGTTTCCTGACCCCTGGGATGAGTTGAGTGACTCAGATCTGAAGGAAGTAGACCCCATTAAGTGATGAGTCCTCAGGCATAGACCTGCTGGCTCCCAAATTGTTCCTTGTGATCCACTTACATTTCCTGGTGGGGCCTCCTGTGCCTGTAGCATTTCCCTCATCCTGGCCAACAGCCCTTTTACAGATCTCAGTATTTCCTCCTTTTGTCCCTGGTTAGGTCCCAGGTGGCTCAGTGGTAAAGAACCTGCCTGCCAATGAAGGAGATGCAGGTTCATTCCCTGGGTTGGAAAGATTCCCTGGAGGAGGGCTTGGCAACCCACTCCAGTACTCTTGCCTGGAGAATCCCCATGGACAGAGGAGCCTGGTTGGCTACCGTCCATGGGGTCACAAAGAGTCAGACGTGACTGAAGTGACTTAGCATGTATGCTCAGGTTCCAATGAATAGGGAAGAAGGTTGTTTAGCTGGAGGTCAAGGTTCTGGCTGTCCTTGATGTCCGAGGCTGGACACAGATGCAGAACGAACTCCAGGCTGGGTCTTTGATGCTGGTGGAGGAGCCATGAGCTCCAGGAGGAAGTGCACTGCAGCGACTTCTGTGGGAAGCTGGTCTTCCAGTTGTGTGGCTTAGAGAGCACAGAGTTTCTTGGATCCCAGGTTCAAATGTGTGTGACCTTGAGATGCTAGCTCCTGGAGTCTTGGATTGGTCTCTTAAGTGAGCGGTGGTTTCTGTCACCATCCTTTGTGACTTTGCATCCACTTAATCCACTGAGTTTGTTTATGCTCTATTTGACATCAGGGATAATAGCAAACCCTTTATGTCACTCTGAGCATTTTACATGTGTAAATTCATTCCTAGGTCATTGGCTGGGGACAAGGGCATGTTGCGACTTGAACCAGGGCTTATTGGTCAGGCTCTTAAGCAAACACTGCATCTCCTGGGCAGCTGTGGATGTCACATTCTAGATAGGGAGGCACGGAGCAGGCAGGCTGAATGGGAATGTGTGGGAGAGGCGTAGGCAGTAGAGGCACAGAGACTGATGGTGGAGGAATCTGAGTGATTGGTGGAGCCCTTTGGCGCATCTGAAATGGACAGAACCAAGGGCCAACAGCAAAGGACTCGCCCTCTTGATGGCAACAGCAGGGCATCTGGCAGAGGCAGGGACTGGCAGTCACCACCAACTCAGAACGGCCCGATGACTACCTGGTGCTCAGCTGTGCATTAGCCCGGGACCCCTTCCAGCCGGAACCCTCCGGCCCCCGCGCCACCCCCCGCCCCCAATCAGGCTCGGGCGGCACAGACTTGGCTCTGTCCCCCTGTAGGAACTAGACTAGATGGCTGACCACCTCCGCTCTGCTTCCCGCACAGCTCACGCGCGGACACCAGGTGGCGCTCTCGTCCATCAGCTACATCGGTTGCTCGCTGTCCGTGCTCTGCCTGGCCATCACGCTGGTCACCTTCGCCGTGCTCTCGTGAGTCATCTTCTGCCCTCCGCCGGGGCCCAGGAGGTTGGGCAGCTTCGTGCGAATGTCAGTGCCACCCCTGCCCACCTCGATTTCCCTTCTGGCACTGTACTGGGGTTGGGGGCTGGGGCAGCAAATGCGGGCCTCTGTTTAGATTCTGCACACGGTGTGTGACAGGGGGGTGGTTGTTCCTCAAGTACCTTTTCTTTTGAAATCTGGGGTGTGGGGGCCCTGTGGGGTGCTGGAAAAAACTGAGGAGAGAGGAGAGGCTGTCCAATTGGAGGGCACCTGGCTTGAGCTAAGCTGGAAAGTTCTGGAAAGTTCCCCAGCCCAAAGGGCTTTCTGGCCTTTGACCAGGAAAGAGCCAGAACAGAGGACCACCCCCCGCCCCCGACCCAAAATATCATCAAAGCAGCCGGATCCTTGTGGGGCTGGGCTGCGGGAAGCCCCAGGGGTAAGAACCCTGGAGGACCCCTTCTGGCTGAAGTCACATCAGTCTGGTCAGAGCTTGAGGGGATCCCCCCAACCCCCACCACCGAGTGGATACTGGCAGCTAAGTTTGCCCATGGGTCTTTCAGGACTGGGACAGAAAAATAAGATCAGGGCCAAGAGTCTGGGCAGTCAGCCGGGAAGATGGGTTTGCACGCTCCCCTCAGGGCTGTTGGACCTCCAAGGAGGGCGTGTTACTCACACCTGGATGGGCCTCAGTCTCGAGGGGTGCTCAGGTGCTTCCTCTGCTCACGGGGTTCCTCCTGGAAGTTGGCACCCCTCCTCACCTGCCCTGTTCCCTGAGGACACCGGTCACCTGGGTGACACTGTCTAGGGGCGTCCCGGGTTTGGTTGGTCCGGGGGCTGCAGCCACAATGGCAGGGGAGGCTGTTAGCTTCCCGGGCCCCTGCTGCAGCCCACCAGGGACCTGGGCACTCTGGGGGGTGGAGCGGGGGTTCCCACTGTACACAGGAACTTCTGGTGGGATCTGAGCCAGATGAGAGGAGATGAAGGTGGGTTTGGAGGGCCCCAGTGTTAGGCTCAGGATGTTCCTGCTTTGATTCTCTTGTTCCTCAGCTATTTGCTCAGCAAGTCCAAACCCATCACCCCCCAACTCCAACCCACCCAGGCCTATAGTCACTTCTGAGGACACAGTTGCACCCAAGACAGTAAAAGCATGCCTGATTGGGGGTGGGGGTGGGGAAGCAGATGACAAGTGAGGATGCGAAGGCCTGAACACACATCTCCACAGCCATCCGAGCCCTGAGGGCAGTTCAGAGAGGAAGTGGGGCTCCCTCAGGCTCAGGAAGTTCTCTCCGAGGGGAAACCTGGGGAAGGACTTTACTGCAGAGTAATAGCTGGTACAAAGACCCTGAGGATGGAGCGGGCTGGGGATCTTGGAGAACCAGAAAAGAGGGTCTGTGATCAGTGGAAGGAAAGAGCTGAGTCTGAGTGATGGGCAAGGGTCAGGTCCTGCAGGGCCTGTGGAATGAGCTGGGTCATTTCCAAGAGTAATAGGGAGCCATTGAGTGTTCATAACCAGAAATGGCAGCACCCAGGCAGGCTTATTAAGACTTCCTTGGTGGTCCTTGGAGGAGCAGTAGGGGGCAGTCACAGCTGAGCTGCTGCCTCTCTGCCCCCAGCTCGGTCAGCACCATCCGGAACCAGCGTTACCACATCCACGCCAACCTGTCCTGCGCCGTCCTGGTGGCCCAGGTCCTGCTGCTCATCAGCTTCCGCTTTGAGCCGGGCACGGTGAGTGGGTCCCCTGGGTCCTGATGTGTCCACAGTGGGCCTCCCTCCCATCCCCTCCTCCCTCCACCAGGAGGACATCAGCAGGGGTGGCACCTGCTGGTTTCAACTTGGAATTCAGACCACCAGATAGCCAGGCTGTGGTTCCTCTGGGAAAGACAGGGAAGATGACTGGCATGAACTGGCCTTCCTGCTCACATCAGTCTTTGTAATGAAGACAGGTACAGCCCTGACTACGTGTTGGGCGCTGTGCTGAGGGCTTACATAGATCCACTCAGTTAATCCTCATAACAAGCCCAGGAAGTGATGCCACAGAGGCAGGATTGAGGCAAAGAGGGTTACAGTGACTCGCCCAGGTAAGTGCCGACCAAAGTCTGACCTCGTGCAGTCTTGCTGCAGACACTGCTCCCCATTTCTGCTCTGACCGCACACAGCCACACCCCTCCTCTGCCTGCCCAGGGCAGGTGCTCTCCACAAAGGGACTGTGAAGACCTAGATCCACATTTCTGTACCCTTTGAATCAGGTAGGGAATCCTCCGGGGAACTAGGAGGTCTTAGATCTCACAGAAAGTCAAGTCCTGAGACTAGAATGACCCAGGCTTGGGTGATGTGGGTTATAAGCCTGGTTGATGGGAAGAAGCAGCAGAGATGGGCTTGTTCTACACTAGGAGAGAAGGAGAACCGAGCAGTATGAATCAGTGGCCCTAGGTGGGATACAATCACACTTGGCTAAAGGGAGATGAACTCTTTATCTCCCTAGGTGAGGGTTAGCAGAGCCTCTTATCCTCATAACCAGTAGGGTCTTCAGTCCACCTGCCTGTCCTGGAGCTTCTGCCTAAGGAGAGATCCACTCTCCTCTGCTCGCAGGTTTAGGGGTTCATCCAAGCATCTAAGAAGTTCTTGGCTGTGCCGTGGACAGATGAGCCTGCACCAGCCTCATTCTCTCCTACTGAATGCATTTCAAACTACACTGTGGATCAGCACATGGGATTTTCTTAAAATGTAGATTTGGGTTCAGCAGGATCTAGAGTTCCTGTTTCCATCCAGCATCTGGGTGATGCTGATGCTGTTGGCCCAAGTCACGCTGAGAGGAGTGAACTCCCATGGTGTGATGGCAGCAGGAGGGAAAGTGGCCCAGGCATTCATGGTCCAGATGGTGACCCTAGGGGCTGGGAGCCTTCTCCCTCTCAGAGCCCATGTATGTGAAATCCCAGGCAGGGCTCCAGTGGGTGGATCTGCTTGAGTGATCCACCCACTGGATGACCTCTGAGACAGACAGGAAAGGTGACTGTGGTGGCTGGTCTCATCAGAGCCTCTGTGTGTGTATAGGGCGCAAAGGTGGTCCCCAGACGAAAGGGGAAGCTGGTCCTAAAAGACACGGAGCCATGAGTACTGGGACCACAAAAATAATAGATATGTCCCATATTTATATCTAACTTTGACAGAGCCTGATGACAAGAAACACAGTGTTTTAGCAACTTGTTCCTTTTTCTTCCCCTAAGAAGTAACTGTCCAGGGGCCTTGAGAGGACAGGACATAGAGCCCCCACAGAGATGGTTGTTCTTGTTTTCATCTTTGTTTTCCTCCCTGACTCCTGGCTCCCTGGCCCTTTGATCTGAGCTTAGGGATGGGTGGCTGTGAATTTACAGAGAGCATAGGGGCTGGGGGGTGGGGGGCGGTGTGCGAAATTTCTGATCGAGGTCCTGGGGAGAATCTGAGGCCATGTGGCTGAGCCTGAAGCTGTGGCCATGACCCCAGGAGCAGGAGGGACCAGATGCCCCGTGATGCTCTGAACAGAGGAGAGGCGCACACCTGCTCTGGCCGGCTAGTCAGAGAGAAGGCAGGTGGGCCTTCTGGATGTCAGTGCCCCGAAGAGCCAAGAAAAGCAGGCATGACAGGTAGTTTGTACATCCCTCTGTGTTACACACCTGTTTGAGAGTAAACTCCAGGGAAGCGGCTGTGTCACTCAGGCCATTCAGCTCCAGGTAGGTAACCAACACCTTGAAGTGGAGAACTAAAACAGACACGTCACATGCTGATTTCTCTCTTCCCCTCAACTCCATTCCCCTCGTACACTGCTCTGCAGCCCCTCCCCGCTCCAGAGCCAAGCTTACTTCATAAGCTCCAGGCTAGGGGCCTTAGGTCCGGAGCTATAAGGGAAACCCACTTGCTGATGGCTCCGCCCACTCTGGAGCGCTGGCCATCTACCTGGCCAGTCACATGCCCGCCCCGAACCAATCCTGTGGCAGGGCTGGGGATATTTATGCTGATTGGCCGGGCCAATTCCCTGCCCTCTCATGAACCAATCACTGTGCCTGGGAGGGGTTCTGATTGGCTACTGCTTGAGTCACGTGCTCCACTCAAATCACCCCCCCCTCCGCCCCCGGAAAAGCAAAATGAGACTCTCCAGAAAGAAATGAAGCCACGTGACCATAAGGCACTCCCCAGAAAATCTGTGGAGGGAGGTTGAGACAACAGCGAACACCTGCTGCTCACACCCTGAGAGAACTTACTTTCTATGTGTCGCTTTGCTCCTAGGCCCCGTGCCAGGTGATGGCCATGCTCCTGCACTACTTCTTCCTGAGCGCCTTTGCGTGGATGCTGGTAGAAGGGTTGCATCTCTACAGCATGGTGATCAAGGTCTTTGGATCAGAAGATAGCAAGCACCGCTACTACTATGGGATAGGATGGGGTAGGTGGGGATGAGATGGGGAGGTGGGGATGGAATGGGGCCGGAGGCAGAGGTGGGTTGCAATTTCATCTTCACGTGAAACACCTTGAAGAAGCCAGGTGCTCTTAGTCTTGAACTTACCCACACTCTTTTTCAAAAAAGTCAGTTCCCATGGGGAGTGCTTTGGAGTGTTCTATTCTAATGGTCAGCTTCCCTTCTGTCTAGGAAAGATCTCAGAGGCATGCTCCTGAGCCAGTGCGGGAACAGTGGCCTGCTTCTCTTGGATTGACACCCAGCTTTAGTGTGGGGCGCTGGGCAGGGGAGGTAGCCTCTAATGCCACAGTGTATGGGTGCCCTGGCGGGAGGGCGATCGGGTCCCTGTGTTCCCAGCCAGTCACACCCTGGGTGGACTCTGTAGACTGTGGGTTGTGGTTGGAGGCAGAAAGGAATTCCCGATTTCTGGGTTGCTGTTACCTGGAATAGAATTTTTGCTCCGTGGTGTTAAGGAGAGTGAGATATGCAGGCAGTCTGCCCCAGGGAGGTATTGTGGCTTTGGATTGGGCCCTGGGGGACGAAGTCTGTCTTGTTAGCCATGCCTGCCTGGAGTGGAGCAGATTGTAGCCCAGGTGTCCTAGTCTCTCTGTTTTACTCTCTATTTTTAATAGGTTTTCTTGAATAAATTCTTTTTAATTTGCAGCAAGCCCTTAGGAACATTTACAGAGACTTTATACATGCTTGTGTTTTTTCAAAAGCTAACTTTCATCAGTTATGGTGGTCCTTTATCCTCGGAGTTACCTTCCCATCGACATGACTCCTTTGCTGAACTTCCTCCTTGCCCATCTCGAGGTGGAGCCCCAGAACATAGGAGACCCTGCTTCCTGCCAGAGTAATGGACACCTGGCATTCTTGCGTTTGCTATAAAGCATTAGTCCATCATCAGGGACCTGCTACTCCTTTCTAGTTTTCTTGCAATAGATTTAATTTTCACAGTTCTCATGGTGCAGGGAGCAGACAAACATTTTATTTTGTGCTTTGAGCTGGCTAACGAAAAGGAGAGAGAGGAGACTCGTGGGCCCCACTCAAGCATGACCGTCTCCTTCCATCCTGCTGTGACTCCCTGAAAGAGGCGGGTTGCTCCTGCCTTTGACTTCTGTCTTCATTTAGTAAGTGTTTACAGGATGATGTGTGATCAACCACCTGTGATGACTAGTTTTTTTAATGGAAATGGCCATACAGTTTAGATTTGTGTGTACGTGTCCATGCACGCACGTGCACATGCACACATAGACACCCCATAGCCATAGCAAGGACAGTTGAAATGAATTAAATGTGGAATTTGTCTCTGCAGGGACAGGAGCCATCTATGCTGGTTCAGGGTAGAGGTGGGGGTCACAATCCAATCCAGCCATGAAGGATGGCTGCTTTAGCCTGTAGTGTATTAGAGGAAAAACAATGAAATATTTGCCAATATATAAAAATGGATAAGTTTTACATAAAATTATTGGGTTCTTTTGAAAAATGAGGAGATCTGGAAACCCTGAGTTTCCATTCCTACTTGACAGCAGTGGCTGTGACTGTGTGGTTTCTGATCCCAGTGTCTTCCCTGTGGGTGTTCTTAGGCCTGCACAACCTCCATCAGAGACTCCCTGCAAACACAGGGCTGGGATGGGTTCTAGCAGGCCTGCCACCTCTGTCTCCAATCTGCGTCCCCTTAACTGATTTCATCAGGGCTCAGAACTGCACCCTTCCTTCAGATTGGTTAGACTTAGTTCTGGGCCTGGGTACATACAGTCTGCAGGCGACTGGACTCTCTCTACCTGCAGTTATTAACGAGGAGGGAGCTAGAGGCTGACCCAGGGCCCTGGGAGGTCACACTATAGGAAGGATTCCCCCAGAGAGAGGCCACTTCCCTAGAGATTTTCAGCCTGCTTTTACAGCGACCTTCAAACAGTATCATTTTTTGAAACTCAAGGATTGTAGTTTTAACTGACTTGGAATTGGAGGTGTCCCATGAACAACCTACCCGAGGTTTTGCCGTATGTCAGGCCCTATGCTTGAACTTGTAAGGTGGGCGAAATGTAATGTCTTGTCCTCAAGGAGTCCACCTGGGAACTGGGAGAGGAGGTGAGTGATAAACAATTGAGTGTGTGTTTACGTGTTGGTGCAGGAGACACGAATCTCTGACCACAAATTCAGAAGTGGTCAGAGAAACGATCATAAACTCAGAAGCGAAAGAAATGCAGCTTGCTTCATTTTTCTCTGTTATGACTTCATTTCTTTTGAGTGTCCACTCATCTAGCTTCCCTGGTAATTCAGATGATAAAGAATCTGCCTGCAGTGCAGGAGATCCCAGGTTTGATCCCTGGGTTGGGAAGATCTCCTGGAGGAGGGCATGGCAACCGACTCCAGTATTCCTGCCTGGAGAATCCCATGGACAGAGGAGCCTGGTGGGCTATAGTCCGTAGGGTGGCAAAAAGTCAGACATGACTGAGTAACTAACACTTTCACTTTCACTCATCTAGGGTTGAAAACTTCATTGTAGTTCATTTTAGACCCTGCCTTTCTCTGAAATCATGCTGGTGTCCCAGGGAAGTGACATAGTACCAAGATCTTGGGAGGTGTGTGAGTCAGGACAGGCTAGATCATGCTGCCATAACAAGCTGCTTCCAACTCACATCGGTTGAAACCAGCGTTCATCTCCTGTGTACACTGTGTGTCCTCGGTGGGCTGGTGGCCGCAGAGGGGCTCTGCTCAGGGCGGTCCCTCAGCAGCCCAGGGTGATGGGGACGTTGCTGCCTTGAGCCATAGCTGGTTGCTGTGAGAGAGAAGATGGTCCGGGTGGTTATCACCCTGGAAATTAAACACTTAACCAATAGAGGCATGTGTCCCTTCTGTTCACAACTCACTGCCCAGAAGGAGTCGATGATCCAACAGCTTTGGATATGGAAGTGCAAACCTCTCACGTGTCCAGAGTGAGGCATCCAGAATACCGCCTGTGACTTCTACCAGAGGGTGGACCACTTGTCTCCTGGCATTGTTATCTCCCTGCCCCTTTCTGCTGAGACATCCCTGCCCCTGTGTTGGATTTCATATTATCCATCCTCTCTGTGTGTTGCTGTGTATGTCCAGGTTAATATTTCATAGCAATGCTCCTTATGGTCACTCCTTACATCACCCCTCCCCACTTCCCTGGATCTTAGGAGGCAACAGCCAATGTGGTTACTCTGAAAGGCCACCACGTTCCAAAGAGAACACTTCTTTCTTTACAAGTTTTATTTATTTACTTATTTTTGGCTGACCTGGGTCTTTTTGGCTGCGTGGGCTTTTCTCTAGTTGCAGAGAGTGGGGACTACTCTCTAGTTCCGGTGCATGGGCTTATTGCGGCAGCTTCTCCTGTTTCAGAGCACAAGCTATAGGGCACATGGGCTCAGTAGCTGCGGCTCCCAGGCTCCACAGCACAGGCTCAGTACTTGTGGTGGACGGGCTTAGTTGCGCCATGGCATGTGGGCTCTTCCTGGACCAGGGATTGAACCCGTGTCTCCTGCATTGGCAGGTGGATTCTTTACCACTGAGCTACCAGGGAAGTCTAAAGTAAGCACTTCTTGAGCTCCATACAGTCAACATCCAGAGGACAGGGCCAGAGGGACTTCAAGTTGTTTGCAGAAGCAGGTCACGTGTCTGCATGGGTTATTGAGGTGTGAATTTCAGATGATGGCAACAGTGGAAAAGACATCTGAGTTTGTTAGTAATAGTGGAGATTATTGTACAGAGATGGGCTTTGTACATCAGTGCCTCCTTAATCACGTCCATGGCCTGAGCTCGTGTGGTCCTCACAGTAGCCTAATGTCGCCTCCATTTCCAGAGTGAGAACCTGGCGACCCAGAGAGGTTCAGCTGAGCCCTTGAGTCTGCACAGCTGGTCCAGGGTGGCCCTGGGGATAGAACCACGTGTCGTTTGGCTCCAAAGCCCAGGCTCTTCCTGCTGGCTGATGTCTGCATCCTGCTCCCACGCTGCTCTTCCTGCTGCCTGTGAATTTTCCTTCTTAACAACACCCTCACCTGATCCCTGTGGCTCCTGCAGCGCGTTTCAGAGAAAGCAGAGAGTGGAACTTGCCCTCTTCTCAGACCCTTCTGGTCACCTTTCGTGGCCTGTCCTCTGCAGGACACAGAGGATGCTGCTGGGGAAGCCATGACCAAAGACTGTCAGTGTTGCTTTGGGGATCGTGGGAGAAACACATCACAACACAGTTGTGAAGGTAGAAAAAGAAGCTTCAACTCTTCCATTTAACTCTGGGCAATAGCGAGATGACAGCCTCTGACTTGGGCCCCCGCCATGGCCAAGATCAGCGGAGAGAGGTGTGGCAGCTCCAGGTGAAGCCTCAACCACTGAGTTTGAAAATCCATCCTCTCTGGCCCCTCCAGTTCTTCCTGCCTTTCAGAACCAACCCACACGGGGCCCTGGGGCCTCTGCAGGGCCCCATGTGCATCTGCCAGGCTGTCCTGTGGACCCAGGCAGAGCCTGACGTGCAGGCCTACGTCTCCTGCACCCCGAGGCTTGGGCTTCCTTGGGAAGATGGGAGCGGGGGGACCTTGGTTCACCATGCCAAGGTCCCTTACCATCTCATGTCCCGTGTATTCCTCCCACCCCAAGTGAGCCAGGCAGTGGGGGTTCCCTGTGACATCTGAGGAAACTGAGGCCCTCAGTGAGTGAGCAGCAGGGTGGGGGCCTGGTCCCAGGACCCCACTTGTCTCCTGTAACTCTGGGTCCATCAAGGCAGGAAGCCTGCAGCCAGTGGCTTCAACATCTGGAAAGGCTTTGGCTTCTAGGAGGTCGTGCATACAGGTGGGGAACCCAGTGTGGTAGCAGGTCAGCGGTGAGAGGCGCACTGCCTCCTGGCCCCAACACCTCTCCCCAGAGACTGCTCTTCTCCTGTGAAAGCCTGATGACTGTCTTGTGCAGACGTCCTGTGATGCAGACTATTTTGACATCAAGACAAAGTGTTTCAGAGATGGGATGATTCTTCAGAAACCCCTTTTCAAGATAATTTAAAATTGATCCTCAGAAGGGCAGGCATGGGACTGACCGAGCCACCAGACATCCCAGGAGGGCTGTGGCCTTGAGGTGCCCAGGCCTGGAGTGAGTAGGAGTTGCAGGGAGAGGAGCAGGCTTCCCTCTGGGTCCTGGAGCAGGTCTCCCATAGGTGGGACAGACTCAGCTCGGGGGTGGGCAACAGAGAGCCACTTGTTGTAATGTATCCCCCCACCCTTTTTTCCTCTTAATGTGCCAAGTGCAGTTTCCTGGTCGGGAGCCCTTTCTCCTGGAGGGGAGGGTCAGTGGGTGGAAGAGACCCCTTGCTGTCTCTCCCCTGTCCCTTCCTTGCAGAGAAGCAGAGGGAGACCCTGTGCTCACGGCACTGAGCAGTCAGAGGCCCTGGGTATGCATGGCTGCTTTCTGAGCAGCCAGAAGCGGTTTTCAGATATAGAATAGATTCATAACGGATCTGCCCTAAAATGCACATGTGTGTTATCTCTTTGTTTAGACTCTTAAGTCCTTGGAGCCTAGAGGCTGTTCTGTGCCCTCAGCACTCAGCACACAGTTTTTTGTATCCATCAGGTATAAAATGAATAAATGCATCAAAAAAGACTGGCACTAATACGGTACTTTGCTCTCATTTTCTGCAGGTTTTCCTCTTGTGATCTGTATCATTTCAATAGTCTTTGCCATGGACAGTTATGGAACAAGTAAGAAGTAAGTGAAAGGGTGATTCCTGTGTTGGCAGGACTCGCGTGGGGAGGGTTCCCATGGCCCCAGCTCACTGGCTTTCTGTGTTCTTCTGGGGGAAGGGTCTGTCCAAGGCTGGCATCTTCCAGCCCTGACAGTTTCTTAAAAAAAAGTGTTTTGGTCTTTCTCCCACCTTGAAACTAGCAATGAGGGGGCCCTCCTGCCTCCAGGACTGCATGGCCAGTACAAGTTTCTAATGGGAACTTTCCATCCATGCAGTTTTCTTAGACATGCTGTCTGGTCACCTATGGAGCCCAGTTTTGTGTTGGTCAGCAAGTGCCTAGTTCATAAAAAGTCTCATTGAGTTACAGCCGAGTGAACACAAGACTGTGTGCATGTAGACCGGTGTGCACCTGCAGTAGGCCCCAAGGTTCTCGCGGGGGCGGCAGCAGATGGGACCCTCTATGTTCTAGACCTCATGCCACTGTTTTGAAACTGCAGTTGGTGGGTCCAGAGTTGAATCAAGAAGAGGCTGGGTTGGTGCTGGGCAGCCAGGCCAGGTGTTTAGGTTCTAGAAAGTTGATTTCCTTTCCTCCCAAAGAGAAAAAGGCTTTAGCTCAACCATCTTTAGGAGGCTGCCCGCTCTCCTCAACAAAGCTGAGGAGTCACCGAAAGAGGACACCATAGAGAGAGTTTAAGAAGAGAGAGGGAGTTAAACTTGGTCATGACTTCAGCCTGAGATAATTTCTCAACTGAGTTGCTAAACTGGGACGAATTTGGCTTATTCCACTTTAGGGCAACAATTTCCTGGAGATGAGGCTTTTAAAGAAAGTGCTGTCTTGAGTGCATACTGAAAGAAGAATGATTAAACAACCATTGTTCTAGCCCATCCCTTGCAAGCCTGCGTGGTATCCGAAGTCAAGGCGCAAATTAAAAGAAGAAACTTCATCTCAGACAATTCTCATTGGCATTTGTTCAGTTTCTTTCCATCTGGGAGTGCAGATGCTGGCTGCCTACAGCTTGTGGCTCAGCTCCAGGGTCTGAGTCTGATATAAGCCTCTCACCCACACACGTGCCTGAGAGCGAGGCAGTCTTGGCAAATGTCCGGAGGGTCACTGAGTGTCTGGTGGGGATGGGGGATCTGAAGATGTGTGTCCACTTAACACTCTGCATGACAACGGTGGAAAGCACAGGCTTCCTCTTGCAGAGTCATCACCCTCTCAGGGAGCCTGGGTCAGAGCTGCCCCTCTGTAGAGGGACCTCTGTACTCACCGTGTGTTTCCATGAGAGATGCCGCATCCTCAGACAGGAGGCTCTTCTCTCCAGGGTCTGGATTCCAGACAGGAATGAGCCTTTTACAGGCCCTGTCTCATGTCTGGGACACTTCATGTCTCCTGATCCAGGAGGTCTTGGGGGGAGGACTGGGGTCAGAAAGGCAGGTGCAGGAGCATGGGCTGGGTCCCCTAACATCCCTGGGCCTCAGCCTCCTCCTCTGTAGGGCGAGCATCATCACAGCACCTGCCTCGGAGGGTGCTATGGAGTCACAGGGGATGATGTGTCTCTGGGTTTGCAGAGCTGGGGGCAGGGGCCATGCTCCTTGAGTAGGTGTGAGTGAGTGACCAGGTGACATCCACGTCCTGAGTCAGTGAGGATGTGTTGTGGGCCTGACCAGATCCCAGCGGGTGTGCCAGGCCCCTGGGGCTGCCCCCAGATCCAGGGAGGGATGTGTCTAAGGGATACGCGGGTTGTTGGCAGTTCTGAAGCTCTGGAGAGAAATGAGGTAGTAGAGGGCCTGGCAGTCCTGCCTGAGCCCCTGGAATCACATCTCGGAAGCCAGGAGGAATTTCACAACCTTAAAACTGGACCCTACATCCCAGACAAGGCTTCTCTGGAAATCAGAGCAGTGGCTGGGATCCACTGGGACCATTCCTCTCAGTTGAGGGGGCACTGCCAGGAGGGGGACTGACAGATAGCTGATGAGCCGATGAAGATGGTCAGTCCTGTGTCACATGATGCCTCCTCACTCCTCCAACAGGCAAAGGCCTATTTATTTATCATAATAAAATGAAAGCTTCTGTTGGATTTTGGCTAGACTCTGCAGAGATGGTGAAGTTTTTCACTAACTAGGTGACCTGTAAAAGCCTTTTTTTCCCTGAGCCAGTGTGCAGACCCAGAACATTCTTCCCAATAGTGAAATGCTCTTGAGATCGTGAGCAGGATACGGGCACGTCTGTTGGGATTGACGGTATTATGGTCACCATGCCCACATTGCCCCTGTCCTCTTGTGGATTCAGGGCCCCCGCGCTGGAGTGGGTGGGGCGATGCACTGATGTAACCTTCTGTGTCCCTCCACAGTTGCTGGCTGTCGCTCGGGAATGGCGCCATCTGGGCCTTCGTGGCCCCTGCCTTGTTCATTATTGTGGTATGTTCTCTGTCTTGCGGGTGCGGAGCTCGGTGGGGCTGGGGGTAGTGGAGTAGAGGAAGCACTGGGCTATGTGGAGATGGGGCTGGGATCCCCGGGAGTAATGTCCGAGGCTGTGGCAGCACCAGTCCTGTTACAGCCCCTCTTGTGGCCCGTGACCCAGAGCCTCATTACTCCAAAAGATACTTGACAAGGTCAGCCATGTTTTCAGATTTAATGCAGACCAGATTAAGGCCCTTGGTGCTTTTCCCACCAAAGCAACCAGTATGGGTGTGCACCCAGGTGGGGCAGTGCAGACCCAGCTGGTTCTTTTCCTTCTCACTGTTCTTTCATAATTTCCTCACATGCACATCTCCATGGTCAAGGAGATGCAGGATCCAAGGCTGCGTTAGGAAGTTTTAGTCAAAGCTCCCTGGGAACCACAGGTAACAAAACTCCTGTGATTATGAAGGACCAACTCAGAGAGGTTGACAGAAATTGGGATTTATAAACTCATAGTCAGGAATGCTTGCCATGGCTGCTGGGTTCAGGATTCAGACATGGCCATCTCCACGTGTTTCTGGCTTCTCACATCTCAGCTCTATTTTCCTGTAAGTCGGCTCCATTCTTAGGCTGCCCCAGATGCTGGTAAGAAACTCTTAGGACCACACAAAATTTCAGTATCCATCTTGGGGGAAAAAACTCCTTTGCTCTTCTTGCTATTGTTCTGCTGACATGTCCCACAAAATCCTATGATTGATTCTCATCATTTCTAATGGGCTTGACTTGGAACTCTGCCCACCATTGACCCCCTCTCTCACTGAAGTCAGAGGAGCAACATGCTCTGATTGACCAGAGGAATGGAATGTTCTGATTGGGAAGCAGAATGTTCTGACTGGCCTGAGGAACAGACTGTCCTGATTGATCAGCCCTCCCTGTGGCCAGAGAAATGAAATGCTTTGATTGGCCAAAGCTCTGAAATGCTCTGATGGCTAGACCTAGGTCACAGTTCTAACCCTGGGTCCTTGTGCTTGGTTTCTGGTGAAGTTATTTAACATTAATGATAAAGGCTCAAATTTATAGAGATCTTTTAAGAAAGATGTTTTTACATTAAATGTCTCTTTTCCTTGCCCTTGAAATAGCTACTTGAAGAGACGGTGATTTCTGTTTTATAGAGGAGCAGATTGAATGATAAAGTCCTGGCCCTGATTGCAGCTGTATTGCTTTAGGTGTTCCCTTCCTCTCCTCCTCCCCTTCTCCTTGCCGTCTTCCTCTTGGTATTCTCCTCCTCCTTCTCCCCAGGTGCTAGTAAACCAGCCTGAGCTCTCTTGAGCAAAATAGGCTCAGTCCTGGGAAGCACGGGGAAATCAGACATGGCTGGTTCTGGGCACTCAGTGATGTCATATGGTATCTCCTACTCAGCGCATGGCCCCGCTGCCTCCTTGCTGGCTCCGTCTGGATCAGGCAGGCTTTCCTGGGGAGGACAGCTCCTAATGGAGCTGGCACCCTGACAACACTCTTCAGCTCAAGGTGGGGAGGGAGGCACTGCTCCCAGCAGTCCCCACAGAAGTCCCAGGGCAGATTCTGATTGGCTCCTGTGGGTCAGGTGCCTATCCCAGAGCCAATCACGGAGGCTGAGATGGAGACAGATGATTGTTTGGGCCTGAACCACATGACTGCTCAGGGGTCACCCCCCTGAACTCCAGGGCCTGGAGGCGGGGGTTCTCAGGAAGCCCTGTGAGGAGGGGGCTTTGGGGAGAGGGGAACAGCATCCTTGCACCCTGCTCAGTATTTGGGATCTGGTCAGGGGTGAGGCATCCCCATGCTGTCCCAGTCTGAGCATCTCTCCCCACAGGTGTTGGAGGCTGACACCAGGAAACCTCCCCCACAACCCTCCTGCCCACCCTGAGCATCCAGAAAACACTCTTCACACTCTGGGCTGAGACTCCAGAGCATGCTCTCCACACACCCCCAGGGTGGGGTCAAGGCTGTGTTTATTACCTCTCCAAAGGGTGCTGTCTTTGAAGCACCCTGGGTGGCCTTGATACTGAAGGCAAGGGAGGGGACTCCAGCTGGAGACAATTGTGCGTTTGGTGTCCTCATTCATCACCTCCCAATCCTGATGACAAACCCAGCTTCCCATGTCACCAGTGATGGCGGTGAGAGAACAGACTTAGAGAGGGTCTGTGGATGGCACTTGAAGCCCACCACCCTGCTCCCCTCCCCCACAGGGATATTTCCTAAATATTGTGAAGCCAGCCCCCCTTTCTCTCACCCCCTGCTCCCTTCCCCAGCTGCTGAGTTGAAATCTTCTTTTGACTTTGTTGCATATTCACTGGCAGGGACTGAAGCCATGGGCCCTGGTGGTTAATTAGAAATGTGTCCAAGGGAAGATTCCTGAAGATGTGGCTTCCTGCTTCTTAATTAAAATTCCATTCAGGCATCCTCATGCCACATGAGGTGCAGCAGCATCTTCTTGGTGAAGGGTTTCCGGAAGGGCAGAGCGGGGGCTTCACTGTGGTGTTCTTGTCTGTTTGGGACCCGAGGGAGGGCGGGTGGTGCCAGCCCTGCACACGATCCCCTCATTCTGGCTGCACTGACTCGCTCCCCTCCATGCCCATCTCCTTCCAGGTGATGTGGGCTCTGGGGCGTCCACAGGTACAAGGAGGAGATGGGGAGTGGGGGGTGCTGCAAGCCTCCTGGATCCCCAGTGGTCTCAGCGCTCAAGCGTCTGTGCCAGAGGAGAGGTGGGGCTGTGCTCCCAGCTCTGTGGGGCTTCAGGGCCCCTGGGCTCTCTGTAGGATCCACATGGAGCCCTGGTGGGAGAAGTGGGCATCAACCAAGTGCCCCTCCTGCCTGGGGTGGGGGGGGGGTGATCTGTATGGATGTGGACCAGACTCAGAAGAGGAGGGCCCAGGAGTGCATCCCCAGTTCCCTCAAGCAGGATAGTGGGGTCAGGGGCTGCTCCATCCCCCACAGACCACACTCCTGTCTGCAATGCCCATGCCGCCCTGGCCACAGACTCCCTGGGTCCTGACGCTGTCCCTCTGTCCTCAGCTCCTCTGTCTCGCAGAAGCCAGGGTCCCACGCACCCCACCTCTGATTGCTGGCTCCCTTGTACTTGGGTGTTTTCTTTCTTTATCCGTCACGGATGGTCAGAATCATGTGGCAGGGTCACCTCCATGAGGGAAGGGGGCACAGCCGTCTCTGCAAGGCCAGGGCGACGCACACCTGCTCTGTGAAGGCGGTCTCCTTCCAGGAAGGGCTGCCAGGTTGGGGAAGGGACGGGACTGTCGTCTCAGGTGTCCATCCTCTGCGGGAACTCCGAGCTCCGAGCACAGACCAGCGTTCTTCAGTTAATTGCTTTCAGCTGTGGGAGGTGGCACGTTATTGTGGTGACGGGTCCCTGAGCTTTCAGTCCAGGCTGTCCCCTGTCCCAGGGCTGTGTGAAGACTGTCTACAGTCATGTTACACCCGGCCTTTCACAGGATGACAGAAGCCCCCATGAGCGACCCAGCAGGTGCACTCATCTCCTGCTCCTGGGGTCAGGGAATACCCTTCACTTTGTCACTCAAATGGAGACACAGGCTGACTGAGTCACTCAAATGGAGACACAGGCTGACTGACTCCAGTCCCCCAACAATTAAAGCCTCCTGGTCAGAGCATGGATGGTGGGCGGGGGTGGAAGGGAAGTAGTTGAATGTTTAAGTCCCCCCTCCCTGTTCTCTCTCTGAGTGCTGACCTCCCCCCTCAGGTCTGGAAGGCCCGGCAGCACCGCCCCCTCCCAGTCTCCCCGGGTGATCTGAGTGTTTCATCTCACTTCAGTCAGTGACAGTGTGGGATCCAAGGCTTCCCTGCCTGGATCCTTCCCCCCACCTACCGCAGCGTGGGGCCTGGCTGCAGCAGGGTCCCCGCACCCCAGGTCCTCCAGGATCACTAGAGCCCCACTGTCCATCCTGGGGGGTATTACCTCCAGCCCCTCCCCAGCCCCTCTCCTCAACATCAGCCATCAACACCTGAGGACTGCAGTTCTCAAACTTGTTAGCAAGGGAATTACTGGGGAGCTTGGGAGCAGTTCCCACCTTAGAGGTTCTAGATTTACTGGATGTGGGCTCCAGGACTTTTCAGAGCTCCAGGGGATTCCACTGTGGAGCCAGCTTGAGGTCTGAGGAGGGCCAGGGGAAGTCAGGAAGCCCTGAATGATGAGGAGAGAGGTGTAGGCCTAGAACTGTTCGGCGACTTCTCAGTCGAGTGCAGGGTCTGCCGGCGGTGGCCCACGTGGTAAATCTTGTGCAGGAGCACAAGCGATTACTTACAAGTCATCTGCAGCAGCTGTCACACTGAAGCCATTGAGTTGACTTGTTTCAGTAGAGACTGTGAGGCCTAGAAAGCCAAAACTATTTGCTACTTGGACCTTGAGAGAAAACTCATGCAGACCCTGGGCTGGAGGACGCAGTGGAGGGGTCCAGAGACCCAGCCTCTCTGACCTTCAGGGTTCACGCTGGCCGGGGTTGGGTGCGTCTCATGTTCCTTGTCTCCTCTGAGGACCCTGGGTTGTGCATGTTGAGTTGTTCCCCATTGTTCAGGGGCCCCTGAAGACAGCAGTTTTCAGGATCACAAGTAGGGCTTGGCCCCATTGTGTAAAGTGTGCACAACTCTGTCTGGGTGCGGGTTCACATGAGTACGTCTGTGGGAAAGAAATGTCTGGACCGATGCAATGGGATAGGGTTCCCTCCAGAGGGATTCCTGTCTGGGGGCTACCTGCTTGCATATCCCATGCATATAGAAACACCCGGCAATTTTAAACTAAAACACTTTGGCAAGGTGCAGGTTCATGTTGGGGCATGTGGTTTCTGTGTGTCCTGGTGAGGTTGGTCTTGGAGGGGCAGGAACCTGGGGGACAGAGATTGTCACAGTGATGCCTGCTGGGCCCATGGCGGGGGCCGGGGAAGGGCAGATCCAAGCCCCTTCTGGGAACATCTCACCCTTCACCCCACTGGCAGATACTGACCCCCACTCCC